ACCGGACTTGTGGACTCACTTCTAATGAAAAGAGTAAGGCAGAAGGGATGAGATGTCACTTCTGAGATTAGGTTACAAAAAGACTGTGGGTTTGTCCAGGGGTGCCTCCTCTTACACACTCTTGTTCTTTCTTGTTTGTTTTGGTCAGTGACGTTGGAGGAAGCCAGCTGCCCTCTTGTGAGGCAACCCTGTGGAGACACCCATATTTCAAGAGATCAAAACTTTCTAATTACATGTGAGTGAAAATGGAAGTGGATCCCTCCCCACTCAAGCCTTTCGATGAGACTGGCAGCAGATAGCAGCCTCATGAGAAACCTTTAGGCAGAAGCACCCACCTATGCCACGCCTGGATTCCTGACCAAAGAAACTGTGAGACAGTACATTGCTGTTGCTTTAAGCTGCTAAGTTTTTGGATAATTTGAAAAACAGCAGTAGATAACTAATATAACTCCCATCCTCCCCTCTTCTTTGACCTAAGCTTCCAAAGTTACTTAAACATATGTCTAGTGATGCTCTCAGCACGCTACATCATACTTACTTCTAAATCTTTTTCTCCTACTTGGCTACCTCCATGCACAGGAGCCCTTGGCATAGTCAGCTTTATATTTACTGTGTCTTATACAAGTTTCAAGCAACCATCATCATTTCCCTCCATTGTTGTAATACCCTCCAAATTGGGCTGCCCAAATCTTCTCTAGCCTCTCCCTAAGCCATCTTCTAAAAATGCAACTTGGGTCACTTGAGAGATTAAAATTCTCCTCCTCATTCCCAGGCTAAAGACCCGACTCCTCAATACAGCCTCCAGGCACAGCATGGCCTGCCACAGCCTCACCACCGCATCTCCAGCCAGTTCCCCCTTGTTCCTAGTACAACAGCAACATTGCCCTTTCGGTTCCTCAGTTGAACTACACTCCTTCCTACTTCAGTGGTTTTGCACACGGTTCGGGTTCGCTTTGTCTAGGATTCTTTTCTCCTCACCTTCACTAATTTCTACTCATCCTTTGGATCTCAGCTCAATGTCACGTCTTCAGGGAAGGCTGTTCTGCCTTCGTTAAAATAAAATAAACCCCGTAGTTTCCTCATCCCCCTTATCACAAACTGGGATCAAACGGTGGTTTAATTGTCTAATATTTTCTTGTCTCTCCTGTTGGACTCTGAGCTTTACAAGGGCAGGGACACTACTTGTTCACTACGTGTTGTCTTGTTCACTACTGTGTCCCCAGCACAGACCATAGTGCCTGACACAGAAAGTAGGGGCTCGGTACTTTCTAATTCTTTTCTCCAAAATGAGTTACAGGGCAGCCATTTCCTATCCCTTCTATAAACTTCACATCGTTTCATCATCTACACATCTAATGTCTGAGTGCCGTTTCTCCAGTGTGCTGTTACCCACCTCAGACAATGGCCTCCGGGATGCAGAGACCACGTCTTCTAAGTTGTGTGCTACGGGACCCAGCAGAGTTCTCCGACCGAGGTGGGGATAGGGCATTGGGAAAGGAAAGAGAGGGGTAGGTCTACTTCTTCATGTCCTTTTGTAGCTCCTTTCTTGCTGTTAAAATCTCCTTGACCTGTTGAGGGAAGTATGAAGTTGAAAGAACATGGGCCGCCCTGGCAGGGTAGCTCAGTTGGTTTAACATTGCATGGATACATCAAGGTTGCAGGTTCAATTCCCGGTTGGATCATATACAATGGATGTGCAAATAAGTGGAACAACGAATCAATATTTCTCTTTCTCTCCTTCCTTCTCTCTCTAAAATCAATAAATAAAAAATATTAATAAAAATTATTTACAATAAGCCCTTGCTGGTGTAGCTTAGTGGATTGAGTGCAGGCCTGTGAACCAGAGGATCATGATTCGATTCCCAGTCAGGGCACATGCCTGAGTTGCAGGCCAGTTCCCAGCAGGGGACACATGAGAGGCAACCATACATTGATATTTCTCTCCCTCTCTCCTTCCCTTCTCCTCTAAAGATAAATAAAGTCTTAAAAATAAATAAATAAATAAATAACTCATATCTTCCTTTAAAATTTTTCTTTAAAATGAAAATGAGCATGGAACATTCACTCTGAGCCAGGTTTGGATCCCAACTGTACTACCTAGTAGCTGTGTGACTTTGGGCAAATTACTTATGCTCTCCGTCCCTCCAATTCCTCAGCTATGAAATAAGGGTATAACGATGGTATAATGTTATAAGGTTGTCTGAAGGATTCTACAAGGTGTAAGGCATCAAGGAGAGGGCCTAGCCTTAGCAAATGCTAAACAAATGTCAGCCACTATTTTTATCTAAGTTACAACAAAATTGCCCGTTTTCTCACTTGGTACTAGAAGAAGTTTGTAAATATTTATGCTGCTGTAAATTTCTCTGAGGGAGGTTAGGATTAGAACACTTAAAAAAATCATACTTGCCCTGGCTGGTGTGGCTCAGTGCATTGAGTGCCAGCCTGTGAATGGAGAGATTGCCGGTTCAATTCCCAGTCAGGGCACATGCCTGGGTTGCAGGCCAGGTCCCAGCAGGGGATGCACAAGGAGCAACCATACACTGATATTTCTCTCCCACTCTCCTTCCTTCCCTTCTAAAGATAAATAAATAATTTTTTTTAAAAAGCTAATTTACATTTGTTGGTTTAAGTAAAACAGACATGTCTTTATTTTACCTGGGTTTACAAAAAAAATCATTAATTACTGAACATAGGTTTTTCCTACTTTTGGCTTATCTGTTAATGAAATTTCTTGTATTTTGTTGAGAAAGTATGTTTCTAAAATTATGAAATGTATTGCCAGTAAAAGAGCCTACCTATGTTTACAAAGATTTTAAAATGTCTTCATAAATTTGACTTCTTAGTTTTTGTTAAAATTGAGGTTTTAAGGGTTAAAATCTCAATATATGTAGGAATAGCATTGGTGGTCTAGAAGGATCTCTGGAACAACTCAAAATATTTCTTTTAGGTTAAATTGCATGGACAGCATTGTAAAATCAATGATCAAAACCTTCTAAGGTGTACTGTAAGGGTAGACAATATTTGTAAATTATTTTTATTATTTTCTTAAGATTTTATTTATTTATATTTATAGGGGAAGGGAAGGAGAGAGGGAGAGAAATATCAATGTGTGGTTGCCTCTTGTGTGTCCCCTGCCAGGAACTGGCCTGAAACCCAGGCATATGCCCTGACTGGGAACTGAAAAGTGATACTCTGGTTCGCAGGCACACGCTCAGTGCACTGAGCTACACCAGCCAGGATTAATATTTGTAAATTAAATGAATAGTCAAGACTATGGGAATCCAAAACAGCCACTCGGTTCTTTAAAGCTCCCTGGCAAAACCTATTTTTCAGTTGTTCCTTTCCTCATGCATCACAGTACATTTAAGCGGGACTCAAATTAAATGAAGGAACTTATGAGCTGACATTAGTGAAATAAGACATCTTAAACTATTGCCAAGGTATGCTAATGTCACTTTAAAAAAGTGCCGGATTGGTCTTTCCTTTCCATCTGGCCAGAGCCATCAGGTAAGCCAAGACAGGTGTTTACAAGTACATCCAGGAGCTGTGGAGGAAGAAGCAGTTGGATGTAATGCACTTTCTTCTCAGGGTGCGCTGCTGGCAGTCTTGCCAGCTCTCCAAACTCCACAGGGCCTTCCACCCCACCTGGCTCAATAAAGCACGCAGGCTAGGATACTGGGACATTGAGCTAAGATGGTGACAAATGACCAGTTCCTAAAGGACTGCCTCTCAAAGGGAAAGGCCCACCAGCGGGTTTGATTCCCTGTCAGGGCACATGCCTGGTTTCCAGGTTTGGTCTTTGTCCAGGTGCTTGTGAGAGGCAACCAGTTGATGTTTTGCCTTCACATGGACGTTTCTCTCCCTCTCTTTCCCTCTCTCTAAAAATCCAAATACTGGGGCGGGGTGTAAAAAAAATCCAAATACTAAAAAAAAGAAGAGCCATGAGAAAATAATGAGTTTGGAACTGCAACGAAGAACTCAAGCAAGGGTGCTCTGCTGCTGGAACCCAGGGAAAATATTTCTCATAAGAAAAGTAGAAAAAAATACAAGTAGGTCAAAGTTAATCTTCCCCTCAAGACACAGTGTCCTCTCGAGGCCCCTTCCTTCTTTTCTGAAGGCACACTCAGTTCAAGAGCAGAAGCTAGGAAACCAGCCGCAAGTGAAACTGGTTTCCTCCCTCCTTTTAATCTTAAGAAGGGGCTGCCAATTCTAGAAATTCCTCCTTTGATGAGAAGATAAAGCAGAACAATGGTGTGAAACTAAGGGAATTCTTAAGGGACATTCTTCTAGGGTGTGTAAAGCCTGCCTGGAAGGGTGTGTGCCTGGATGGGACTGGGAAGTTAGAAGTAGGAAGGGTGAGTGGATAAGAGTTGGTAGGCACAGCTACAGGGAATAATACAGTTGCTCCTAACGTCTCACAGACGAGCCACTCCATCCAGTCTCTTCTCCTGGAGATTAAGTGAGCGCATCAGAAAGCGCTTTACCCAATCCATATTTATGGGTCACTAACCACACTCCCCACAGCACCTGATGCGCATCGAGGAATTGGTAAATTCTGGTTGGAGTGAAAGATTTTTGTTAAGCCGCCTGTTCTTTCAGTTTTCCGATCACAAACTAATGTCGGTCGGCGCGGCCTGAGGCCGAGAACACGAATCTGGGAGCCCAAGCTGGGACGGAGGCGCGAGCGCGGAGTTCTCGGAGAGGGCACGGAAACAATAGAGCGCTTCAGTGATTGGCGGCGCTTGGGAGGCTCAGCCAGAGTCAAGGGAGGCCCCACTCCCCTAGCCTGAGGCTGCGGTGAGAGACGTCCAGCGCTCTTTCGACACTCCCCTAGCGAGAGCTGGACCCTAGCATCCACCATCCCAGCTGGCACCTCACTGGACGTGCCCAGACCCCGCCCACTACTTCAGGTAGGCCGTCAGAGTCAGCCTATCCGCGAGGAGCCTGGGTGTGGAAGGCGGAGCTTCCAGACCGGAAGTGACGTATATGCTTGGCTGGCTGTGGAGTCTGCCGAGGCTCTCCGCGGTGGCTGAGACTACTGAGCGGAAAATGGCTCGGACAAGGGTGGCTTCGGCAGCTCGGGTTGTGACAGACGCGGATACTCACGCAGCTTGAGGTGAGGAGTGGTGGGTGCGGCCGGGGCCGGTACCTGGAACCTAGCTCTGAAAGGCCTGCGAGGGGCTTCAGGGGTTCAGGGACGGAAGGGTCCCTGGTCCGGCCCCCGGTCCCGCGGGTGCCAGTCTCTGACCCTCCATCCCGTACGTACTCTTGGCGCTGCCCCATCCCGACTCACCTCCCTCCGGGCCTTACTTCCACCCAGGCGGTTGCTGACTGCCCCACCGAAAGTGCAGGGGCCTGCGCCTCAACCAGGCCCTCTAGTCGGGGACGGGCCGGGGGTGCTGGGGGTTAGTTTTTGTCCCCAAGGGGGAGGAGGGGCCACCCCCTTGTCCCGCGGGACCAGACTGCAACCTCAGTGCCCGGTCCTATTTTCTTGACGAAATATTACGTTATTAATTCCATCGAATGTGTGTTGCACTTCTCACTTATTTTTTTTTCCCTCCCCACTCCCTTTTCACTTCCTTGTCCCTCCCATCTCGAGCTTTGGGGGCTAATGATCCTTTTTTTTCATCCCACTTCCCCGCGGTTGCCTTTTTGCCGCAAAGCCACTTGCTTGAGGAAGACTTATTTCAGTGTGTATTTAGCTCATCATCTTCCTGGGAGGGCGGTCATATTAACTTCCTGAGTGATGGAGGAACAATAAATAATTGAAGATAAAAGCACTACATACTTATTTTCCTTATTAAATGGGTTGGCTTTAAAAAGGAGATTCTCTAGCTATGGAATTTTTTGGCGGAGAGTGGGGAGGAGGGATTGAAAAGGGAAGTGAGGACGAAGAAAACTAAGTGAGGAGGAAAGTCTAGAGATAAAGAGCGCGGAAGAACCTGTAGTAGTTCTTCCCCTGTATTCTCTTGATAGAAGTTGAGGCTGTACTTACATTTTTGAAAGTGGGTGTTGAATTGAGTATAAGGAAGGAGGCCTTCCTCTTTGAACAAGATTATCTGTTAAAGAGATACCCTAAAATCTTTCCTGGTGGGTGTCAGGCAGAAAAGCCCTGCTGAGAAGTTTGTTTAATATATTGGCGTATCAAAGTCATAGATTAGAAGAGTTGCAGAAAAAAGAAAGTTATTATTAGAAGTGGTGAAGGCATAATTGAAAGGGAAAGACTGCAGGTTAGGAGGTCCAGGAACACTGATCGATTCCCGGAGAGACTTTGTACCTTTGCGTCCTTGCCTTGTGGTGGTCTCACCAGGAGACTTTTGAGGTAGGTGGGGTTGGTGCTCTTATTCACGGTAGCAAATTAGAACCAAGTGCCTTAGTTGAGGTCTGTATAGTTTAAGATAACTGCTTCTTTAACATTAAGACAGTCTTTGAGTACTGAAAAGCATTATGACTGAATGAGAACAGGGAGATTTTATTGTTTAACCCAATCTTAATTCAAAAGTGATTTTTATGTAGGTACCAAGCACTTAAGAGAGTTTCCACAAGTTATTTTGCCTAAATTAACAAATTTTGGAGCAATTTTTTTCTGATGAAAATCTCTGCCTTTTTCTATGCATGTTGCTTGCAGTTTTTCTTGGCAAGCAATATATTTTAATGTTTTCATCTGTAGGTTTCACAGATTTTTTTTGTTTTATAGAATATAAAAGTTGGCATGCTTGCATTTAGGAATTTTAGAAACTATAACTTTATGTAATTAGCTGTATATTAATATGATTATTTCTCCCTTGAGCCATGAATGGTTCCAAAATTTTCAATTAATTGAAGATGGCAGTATCAATTCTCATGTCCAGGAATCTTTCTTTCATCTTGCAAAAGGTTTTCTTACTTAGTAAGCACATTCTTCAGTAAGTGAACTTAATGAGAGCGTTGGATTTTTCAAGAGCTCAGAGTTCTTATTAGAGCATCAGACCAAACTTTGCAGAGCAGCAGTGCAAAAGCCGTTTGCTTTGTGACTTGTATCGCTTTGATAACATAAATTTACCATTTTATTATATATTTGCCATATTCCAAAAATAATCTAAGGCAGGTAAATGATAAAGGTGAATGTTTTAGTGCCGTGCATTGACTTAATACATGATTTGATTTATTAGTTGTACCTCAGTAGGGCTAAAACTTTACCCTCTGAACGATCTTTCTGTTTTCAGTATCCCTGCAAGGATGCCTGGCATTACAGGGGTTCCAGGGATAGAAAAATCAATGAGACAGTGCTTATTCTCAAGAAGTTCTGTAGTCTGTATAGGGAGACAGATACACAAATTGGAACAGTATGGTTATACGGGCAGTAGTGGATCCAAGTAGTACTAAAAAGGACGTGATCACTTGGGCTGGCAGATGGAGAAGGAATGAGTACATCTGACGGGGAAAATGGTGCTCAAATTGAGTGCTTCCCCCCTGCACTGATATTATTTTCTGTGGAGTAAACACAGAAAATATTTTTGTTATTTTCTTAAAGAGAGAAATGAGGCCCAGTGTGTTTGTGACTTGTTTAGCATAATACCTTAGAGCATTAATTGAACTTATTAAAATGCTAAGCCTAGTATTTTTTTCATTGCATCTCTTTGGATAGTACTTCAGTGTTTAGGTACATAGCATTTTCCAGATTTTGGAGTGTTTATTAAAGAATGGGTACTTCCTGCCTTTAGGGTGTTTATATTCCACTTAGGAGAGACCAACTACAATACATACAGCAGAAAGTAATTATAAAAACTTATTAATGGTATAGTATAGTAGAGACCCCTTAAGGGATAGTATGGATACTTTTTAAATAGATGAGAGTTAATGAGGCAAGATTTCTGAATAAGGAATTTAGATCATAAACTGTTGCTGTAGTGAAAAGTGATGAGGTGTCAAGGACATAGTTATTTCAATGCACAGAGAAGAACCTGGAAAACTTAGATAAGAGAAAATAAAGTATATGTTTAAGGAAGGATTTGCAAAGTTTGTTTGAAAAGATAAGGACAGGACATAGGTGAGATAAGAGATGAGAATAAATAGACATCTATTATAAAGAATCTAGAGACCAATGGTCAAATTTTACATTATTTGGATGATTCAGGAAATCTTAGCACAAGCTATGAACTGGTGGCTTAAGTAGTCTGGAAGTCATAGGAGGACTGAAGGAGAGAGAGGACAGTGTCTGTAAATGAGCAGCAGAGGAATGCTTGTTTCCATTGTGAAACCGAGTACGGATTTGGTAAGAAATTTGACTACAAGAAGAGAAAGGAATGGGCATTGTTAAGAAAATTGGTTAAAAATTTTGCAGTACTGAAGCAGCCTATTTAAAAAAAAAAAAGTATTTTCCTATAAAAACAGAAACTGGCAGTTTACCTTCAGGAAATAACAGAAGAAGCAGGAAGAGATTAAGTATTGTTAAAATTCTGCTGTGGAATGAGAGGAAAAAGCAAAGACAGAATTGTCTTTCAAGATAAAAGGGTGCAGAAAATGAGAGGAGACAATAGAGAGAAATCAGTGCTGGCCAGGTGGGGGAAAACATGAATGTTAATGGGAGAGATAGACAGACTCAGGGAAATACTTGTCTAATTAGGGAACCGGAAAATACTTTTTCAAATGCTCTGTTTGCAGTTTTGGGAATTATGTGAAGCATGTATTTTCCCTCCAAGATAAGCACTAAAGGAGACCTAATTATACCTATAAACAAAACCATAGTGCTATGAATAGCCATAACCAAACTGATTTATGAAGTCACTTTATATGTGTTCCTAATGTAAGCTAGAACTGTTCTGACTCCTCTTTTTGGTTTAGTGTGTTTTTTTAGATCACAGTGCTGAGCTGGGAAAGGTGCTCTTTGGCTCCCTCCGGGTTTCATAGCCCGGTTTTATCTGATTAAACCTCACAATGACACCAGACTGGAATTCTGCCTGTGTTGCAATGCATGACATGTTGCTGTAACTGTTTCAATTTTTTAAAAATTAGATTTATTGAGATATAATTTACTTACAATAAAATTGATGTGTTTTAGGTATATTGCTTTATAAATTATAAGAAATAGCAGCAGTGTTTAACTGTTGCTACAATTAAGACAGGACATTTCCATCACTCCAAAAAGTGTTATTTATGATCCTTTTGCGTCATAAGGGACCCTTATGAGGGACCCTTTTGACCCATGATGAGTCATCCTTTTTCTAGGCTCTTGCAACAACCGATATATTTGTTGTTGTTGTTCCCGTAATTGTGGTTTTCCAGAATGTTGCATAAAATGGCATCATACAGTATATGCAGCCTTTTGAGTCTGGCTTCTTTCATTTAGTGTACTGATTTTGAGATTCACTAAGCTTCCCTAAAAAAATTAAACTAATTTTTAGAATAGTTTTAGATAACAGAAAAATTAAAATAGTACAGAGACCTAGTTTCCCCTCTTTTTTTTTATGTATGTGAACTATTGATGTTTGCTAATGGTCAAAAACAAGATTCTAGAATTAAGTTTTTGGAGATGGAAAATTGTGTGAAGGTTTCGGTCAAGATGACTTTTATCGTAAATTCTATATGAAATTTGTTATTTTAACCATTTTTAAGTGTACAACTCCGTTTATAAACGGTAGGTTTATAAATTATATTTATAAGCTGAGCAACCATCACCACTATCTATTTCTAACATTTTTCTTTTTCTTTTTCTAACATGAATTTTCTTTGTATTCTCTTTATTTTAAGTTTTCTTATTTTTAGAGAGTGGGAAAGGGAGAAAGAAAGGGAGGGAGAGAAACATCCATTGGTTGTCCCTTGCATGTACCAAACTGGGCACCAGGCCCTCAACCCAGGCATGTGCCCTGACCAGGAATCAAACCTTCAACCCCTTGGTTCACAGGCCAGCGTTTGATCCACCGAGTCACATCAGCCAGGACAATTTCCAAAATATTTCATCATTCTACACAGAAACTCTACCCACTTAGCTGTAATTACCCATTCCCCCTTTCCAGCTCCTGGTTTCTGCTAATCTTCCTTCTGTCTGTATAAATTTACCCATTTTAGATATTTCATATAGGTGGAATCATGCAACATGTGTTCTTTTGTGTCTGGCTTATTTAACCTTGGATAATG